CTTCATCACAATACGACTCCCATAGGAAGTGGACAGCCTGTGCGCACACCGGGAAACACTAGTAATAGTTCCTCGTACGGGAAGATGCTGACAATGCTTGAAAACGGTCAGATTAACTAATTATGATGGATTTAAGCCTCACTGGCCAATAACTGGAGACCGGCCAGAAACCGAAGTGCTTACCTTATGAGTGCATCCAATCAAATTATGAACCTCCTCATTGGTTCGGCCGTAGAAGGGCTGAGCATATTTGGCTGGATCTACTCATAAAGAATGGGAATTGCAGGGCGGGACTGGACTTTGGAGAAAGAAGATCCGAATCAGACATCTATTTCACTCTTCATCCTGGTTCGCAAAAATGACAAGCGACAGGACTAGCTTGTTCGAATTCTCAATCCTTCCAAATAACATCCATATTCCTCTTTGCCAATGCTAGGCATGAAGATCAGAGAAACGAGCTGGGTTCATCGCCTCCTACGAAACCAGTGACCCAAAGTTCGCGGTTTGACCATGGACACCTCTATTTCATCTAATCCTTATCTACTGACCCTGCGCGATGCCCCAGCTACAAATATAAATATAGTTCCTCCATCTCTATCCTCTTCCCATGCCTCATCCCAAGTTTATTCATCCCTGGATACCCAATTAGAGTAATAGTAAAAAGGGCTTAAAAGAGTAAGGAAGTCCTTGACCTTTGTGATAGGTCGGAACATCCTGGGTGTTTGTTAACCTAGTTGCGTTGCTTTTGTGATATTGATAAAAATAAATAATGAGGTGAAATATAAAATTCTATGCATTCTTTAAAATGAATCATCTCTAAGTTAGTGAATGATATAGAGGATTGACTTCTTATTAGGAATCGGGCAGCACTACTTCGATGGCGTCATTCATTCAGTACCACCGGCTCACCACGTGCAAGGGTGGTCGTCTGTTCGCCATCCTACGATCGTGATTCCTAAACTTCTGGCTCTTTGTGTCATCGACGACCACAAGAAAGCAGTATTTTGAAAAGCTTAAGATGTCTTGGCTGTTTGGCCTGCGGAATAGTACCCCTCAGCAGCCACCAGAAGCAGGTGGCGGCGTTCCGGTAGGGAATGCACCTCCTCCAGGAGGCGGAAATACTGGGCAGGGGGATACCAAAGTAAGCAAAGCTATGGAGGCTTACAGATTCGACTCAGCTGCTTTGGAAAGAGCTGCTCAGGCTGCAAAAGAACTCGAACGATCTTGTAGGCTGAGTTTCCTTGACATTGGTTTGACCTTCATACTCCTAGACCTACTGTAGGCCTCAGTCTTAAAGTTAAGCAAAGGCCTATGAGATATGGCTATGATAGGCATATACCTATGCCTTTTTCAGTAAATAAACCCCATTCTTTATGTAGACCCATTTGACCTTATAGTGGCATTATAGGACTTCATTAGTAGTGAGGTGTAAAATGTGTGTGTTTTTGTGTAGCTTATGCCAAAGATGCATTGGAGTTGTCAAAGATGCAGGAGCAGACACGGCAGAAGGAGCAAATGGCAAAGATCAAGGAGTATGAAGCCCACATTGAACAAATGAAGATTGAAGGAAAGCGTGTAGAGCAGGAGGAGAGAAGGAAAACTCTGAGTGAAGAGACCAAGCAGCAGCAAGCTCGGGCCCAATACCAAGATCAATTGGCAAGGAAGAGGTAGATTTATGTTTGGTATATGTATGATTTGTTCAGATTAATATTTTTTATATTCATACCTGTGTGATCTGTTTTGCTTCATTCTTATACTTGACCTTCATGTAATTGCTATAGGTATGAGGATCAACTGATTCAGCAGCAGAGAATACAGGAGGAGCAATTGCGAAGGCAAGAAGAGTCAGTAGCAAAACAGGAAGCGATGAAGAAGGGTAAATCTATTGTAGTCCAGTCTCATTCATAAAGTTGAAAGTAGAGAAATGAGGTGATTAGTTGGTGGTTTTTGAACTTCTTCAACCATAGGAATGAAATTTTATTTCCCCTGTAATTTTATAGCAACTCTGGAACATGAATTGGAGATGAGAGCTAAGGTTGATATGAAGCGGATAGAGGCCGAGGCCAAAGCAAAGGCCAAGGCTGACCGGGAGAATCAGGATCTACACCTAGAACAAATTCGATTAAAGGCAGCTGAGAATCGAACAACAGTCCTGGAATCCATCAAGTACAAAGCCTCATGATTGCCTCTTTATTAACTTCTAGCCTTATAATTTTCTGCTTCCAAAATGATGTCTCTTTGTATATTTGCAGAACAGCAAGTTCAGTGTTGGGGACAGGATTACAGGCATTTCTGGCTGATTGGGACCGAATCATGGCTGCTGCAGCAGGCATCACACTTCTTTCTCTTGGGGTTTATTCTGCTAAGCGTGGAACAGGGGTTGCTGCCCGGTATATTGAAGCCAGATTAGGTGGGGATCAGATAGAGCTGGAACTTCAATAAATTTCAAGGGGAACTCTAATGGTGGTTGGGCTTTGTATTACAGGAAAGCCATCACTGGTACGAGACACATCCAGGATAACGTTTTTGGATGCTGTGAGGCATCCCGTAAAAAGTGTGAGGAAGACATTCACTAGACCCCTGGATGCCATGCAGGGAGTTGTCCTCTCTCCTTCACTTGAGACGAGGCTTAGGTTTGCATTCAAATTTTAAAAAAAGAATCAGCCAGCATGTAAGGTGCAGTGATATTTTAAGCTTGCATGATGCTATTTTCATTTGTGCAGGGATGTGGCCATCACCACCAGAAACACAAAGCATAACAAAGGGATGTATAGGAACATCTTGTTCTTTGGTCCACCAGGAACTGGCAAAACCCTCTTTGCTAAGGTTAGTCAATTCCTATAAAATGCTCTTTACTCTGGTTGCATGATATATTAGAGCATTTTTTAAATTGTGACATGGATATCTGTTTCAAAGTTGAAGTGAAGTTTCATTTTGCATTTTTGTGAAAATTTATGTTAGCATCAATAGTAAAATAATAAAAAAATTTGTCAGTATCTATATTTGAATTAATATTAGCATTGAGCATCATGTTGACTTTAAGATCAATATCAGTATTGCCCTCATTATTTGATATTGATCAAGGTAGATGTTGGTTGATTGATTCCTGACTGGGAATGGACAGTAGATAGAGAGCAATCCATTCTCAACATCATATCCATACATCCATTTCACTCACCATGGTTCCCAGAAAACCAAAGGAAGATAAGAATGGAGAATGGAATAAGTGGGACATGATATCTACTTCACCTTGATGGGAACCAGAGATCAATCGTTTTTCTGGAAATGGGAACCAACCCCTATTCATTCTTTTCCATTTTCTCTCTCTGATGATAAAATCTAATCCAAACATCACAATCTGACAAAAGAAAGAAGGGAGGAAACAAAGGTTGTGATTTAAATGCACTGCACTACAGTTCCTTACCTCTTCTTGTTGAATAAAATGATATATCACTTGGGAAATTTGATTGGAAAGAATTTTCATGCATTCCAATTCTGTTTAAGTTGTCTTTGAAAAACTTTTTTGTCTGTTTGTAGAAATTGGCGGCAGCATCTGGGATGGATTATGCAGTTTGCACTGGAGGGGATGTGGCTCCATTGGGTCGAGATGGAGTGACAGCAATGCATAAGCTTTTTGACTGGGCCCAAAACACACGCAAGGGTCTCCTTCTCTTCATGGATGAGGCAGATGCTTTCCTACGCAAGAGGAGCTCCGAGACTGTTTCTGAAGATCTTAGGTCCACACTCAATGCCTTCCTCTATCGTACTGGGGAACAATCCAACAAGTAGGTCATCAGAACTCCAGCTGTATATTAAAAAAGCCATTAATCATTTGTTGGCATAATTAATTCAATCTCATTTCATGTGTGTGTGCTCCTTAAGTGAATCCTGTTGATTTCAACTTGTTTTTTTGTTATTTCAATTATTATAGGAAGTTTTTCAATAGGTAACAGATCATTATATATAATTGCAGTGTTCTATTTAGATACAAAACTCTCCTTTCACACAAGTTAATTTTTTAAATATTCACAATTAAAATTCATGTGAAATAGGGTCCTGCAAATTAAAAACCCAGTGAAGAGCAAATATGCATGCTCCTACATGCATAGATACATGACTTTACACTGGTACCTCTTTAAGCTCTCTGGCATATGAATGCCCATCTCTACTAAGAGCATGAGCTCATTAAAGGTGGCTACCAAAAAGTTTGAAAAATTCACTGGCATTGAGGCTAGATTGATTTGTACAATAGCATTTAAAAGTGGTGCCATGCCATGGAACCAGCAATAATACAAAAAAATTGTGTTCTTCCTTCAGTGGCTCAGTGACCAATAGGAGAGGAGCAGGCTGAAAGTGAGGAAATAAATGGTCTGAATATGAAATCAGGATCTGTGAAACATTTAACTTTCTGAAAACTTTTTTGAAATTTTCACCCCCTGAAAAAAGGGTTTCACTGTCTGAGAATGGTATATGAAAAGATCTTTCCCTTTTTGTTTTTCTATGTCTTGCATTGCATGGAGGCTGGTGATTTTCCATTTTCAAAATGGAAAACCATCACCTCTATAGTTTAGCATGAATGTCAGATTAATCCTCTTGGTTCCATTAAGTATAAGCGAAGTTTTGGACCAGTCCTGGTATTGACCTATGGGGCATTAGCTTGGTGATTGGCTTGGAGCAAATTTTTCATTTTAAGATTGCTGATAATTTTTTTATACTTCACCAAAACCTATTATGAAAACGATGTTTATAATTTTATATCAATCCTCTGTTGCATGCTAGTTCTTCTTGTTGTGAGGATGAACATCAGTGATGACAAAGGACTCCTTTTTATTCTGTCCCTCATATGAGGACAATGTAGGTCGGAGTTTGCCATAATCTAAGAATTTGAAGATTTATCATGCACATTCTCATTATGTGGATGATTAGCAGAGAGGGATACTTATCCCATAAAACAGAACCAAGAAAGGACTATTTCCATTGCAATTTTGGTTTTGTTATGTTGACCCTCAACAACATTGTATTGAAAAAGTTTTTAAAAAATTTAGATTTCAACTGATGAAAAAGTGAAAGGAATTGGTTTTGAAAATGCCTTGCTTTTGTTTTTTTTCAGGGCTTTTCATGAACCTTAATGTACATTTCTAGCTGCATAAGTTCCAGAATTATAAAAATGTTCAAAGGGTTCACATGCACTCAGAAATCAAAACATGTTGCATGAAGCATTGCAGTCAGAGACATGTAATTTAGGATTCTCATTCTCTCTTGGGGTCTTTTTTCTGAGATGGTTGATCTTCAAACAGGCTCTTCAGCCTTCATGCCAATATAAAGGCTTTTTTTTATCAATCTATTTTGGCTCATATCAGTCCTAATAAGATGTGCAAAAAACTCCTAATGGCTGTCAGAATCCTTATCTATAGTTCATGATGTGTAGTACTCAGTATGCATTGACATCCATTCATCAAAAGTGCCTAGTAGTTTTCTTGCCTCTGACCAGGTGTTATTCTGAATGGAACATTGATGTGAATGACAATTTCTTCTTCATCCCCCAAGATTTATGCTGATACTGGCCTCAAATACACCTGAGCAGTTTGACTGGGCTGTGAATGATCGCTTAGATGAAATGGTTGAATTCTCCCTCCCTGGTCTGGAAGAGCGAGAGCGGCTTGTCCGTCTCTACTTTGACAAGTTCATTCTTGGCCCTGCTGCTGAGGGCAGAAGGTAAACCATTTTTGGGTGTCTCATCTACTTTGAAATACGATATTAAATTATTGCTTGTGGGGTTTTATGTTTCAGGCGGTTGAAGGTGGCCCAGTTCGACTACAGTGCCCTGTGCTCTCGCATTGCACACGAAACAGAGGGTCTGTCTGGTCGGGAGATTGCCAAGCTGGGTGTAGCGTGGCAGGCAGCAGCTTATGCCAGTGATGATGGAATTCTCACTGAACAGATGGTGCTAGATCGTGTGCAAGATGCTGTCATTCAACATCGACAAAAGGTGGGTCAAATTATGGTATTTGAGGGCTAGGAATTTGCACATGATAATGAGGAACTGTGAATTCATGATTTCCAAGTTGTTCGCCATCTTTATATCTGTATTGCAGTGAAGGTTAATTGATAATGATTGTGTCATTTGCCTTGGAAATAGGTGGAATGGCAGAGTGAGAAAGAGCGTCAAGAGTTCAAGTCCCTGACATACAAGACTCGGAAGGAAAGTTCTTCGTATGTTCCCAAATCCTCAAAGTCCTCGTCCTCATCATCTCCTACATCTAGCTAATCTTAGTGTATCTAGGCAAGGTCTCTGGAGCTGTATTCCCATTTAGGTTTGTGTTTGACCTATAGAATTATGAATGAGAACTCGCTTTTGTACTCAATATGAATGGTTTTATTTTCTTCAAATTTTCATTACCATCGGATTCAGGTAGTCTTGGATTTTGGACCCAGATGCAGACGCTTTCCATGAAACTGTTTTGCCCTGCCAAAACATTTCCTGGTACCCAAAAAAGTAGGCCAAGCAAGAAATTGCCAAGTGTCTGATCAACTGGAAAGCTCATCACTAAAACCATGTATAATTGCTTGCTGCTTGAATACTTCAGAGAGTATACATGCAGCCATTTTGGTTTGAGTTCGTCTGTCATTCTTTACATATTGCTGCTGAGGGAGAACTGGCAGACATATTTCATTACAACCTAGCCAGGTGAAGATATGACTGATGGGTAGAAGCAAAAAGCTTTCAATATGATCTCCAATTCATATTTGAAAAAATATCGTGTCAAGGGATTTTCATGTATGAACATCCTATAGTTGCATGGGGAGATAATGCTGTTGAAAATACATTAATTCCATATCCTGAGCATTATACATACCATGTGCATCATCTTGGAGTTTCATCTGCTCAATAGGCGCAACTCTTTTTTTTCCCATTTTCCCAAATGTTTTCCCAAACGTTGAATTGTGTTACACTAGCAGGGGTGTCCAACCTGTGGCCCGTGGGCCAGATCCGACACGCCAATTCATTTTCTCCAGCCTGTGAATTCCTCTTTAAAAGTTGATTTCAGAAAATTGATTCGTTAGTGAGGCCCCCAAACACATCTGTACCAAATCATTTGATCCCCGCCAAATTGAGTTGGACACCCATGTGTTACAGGATAACAGGTATTTTGATGCAAATATTTTAAGCTTGATCCACGATCCATAGGAGTGCTACCATAGAGGAAAACATCTGACGCCATCGGATATTTATGGAGGGAAAGCGAACTGATGGATTTCCTTCCTTACATTCCTCAAGATGCTAGTAATAGCTCTTAAAATGGTGTTTTTGAAGAAAATCTGGTTTCATGGGACATCCATATGGACCTAGTTGAAGAAAACCATCTGGCCGATGCCCATGTGAAAGCAGGTGATAGGTTGACAAATTGAGAAAATCTGCAGCTCAGCCGAAGCTGAACTTGGAAGCAGCTTTTAAAATCAGTGAGAGGGTGGAGTATGATGGCGTAATAAGATCGAGTTTTCTGCTTTCGCTCTGGATGAACGATACGTAGCCTTGAACGTGTCACTTGAGACCCTTGAACATTTTTTTTACAGTTATCTTGAATACCTGTTATGATATTCTTTTTTGGATTAATTCTGATATGCACGTTATCTTGACAGGCTCTGAGGATTCCTATCTCTGATGAAGACCTCGGTGATTTTTATAACCGTCGACTCATGGCTCTCTCGATTGGAGCTCATGTGCTAAATAAATGGACGTTTTCAGGAAGAATTATTGTTAACAGTTCCCAAATTTTCACACTAAGTTTTCGTGCCCATAATTTGATTTGGTAACCGACAATGAAATGTTTTGCACTGCCTGAAACTCATGCCAATAATTTTCATTTCTGAGAATCCTTGTCACATTATGGACTTCCTGCCACAACTTCAAAAATTCTTGGAAAATAGTGACCCATTCTGAATTCCTATCGCTCCTAGTCGATGTTGGATCAATTTGATCGAAATGTTTGGGGAAATTGATCAGAATGGCGGATTTTTTATTTATTTTTCTCTCCAAAAGTTTAGCCAAATTGATAAAACTATGGTAAAGCGTAGATACTGACTCAGAATTGGGCCAATCCATTGGGTGAATTTGACCTGAACCTGGCTTTAGCCTACACCCTTATTAGGTGACTTTTCCTTCATTTACATGTAGAAGTGAAGACTCCCCAGGAAAGAGTTGTTCGACCTCGCTCCTATTTTGGCCGATCCCCATGGCAAAAGGGGGTTTTCTAATGTGTGATGGTGAAAAGTGTCAGGACACCCTTGGGATTCAGATGAAGGTACTTCCTCGGAAGGAGAGACATTAGCCTTGTTTCGACTCGATCTTTTCCTCGGGATTAGCGACCCCATGAAAATGTAATTACCTCCATTTCCTAGATTTTTTTTTCTCCCAACTGGTTTTAAAGGCTTCTTGGGAACGCATGGCACGAATGCCACCTCCCTTGTTTCGACTATTTTTAACTTGGTGGTGAAAGCAATCTCCTACACAATAGCAGAAGTGCTTGTCATCTTCCTTCTCTTGTCCTCTTTATCGTGCATAAGTTTTCACGAAGAATTTATCCGCAAGGCAATAATGAAGCAGATTCCTCGCCAACAAGTTTTTTTGTAGTCCACCTGATGTCTCTGTTGCGAACCGTGCTTCTCTCATTTTTTCCTAAGGGCAAAAATCCCTTGGGAAGGATACCGTCGAAACAAGGCTAATGACCGCAAATTGTGTCATTCGAAGAAGGCGAGAACACGCGCTTCTCTGCCAGGGCACACGCTCGCCGACTGACGGCAGTGAAATACAGAATAGCTATTGTGTTTCGACTCCCTAAATCTCTAACCTTTCCCTAAAAATAGCTACGAATGCGGCCGGGGGCATTTCGGCAGCAAAGGATCATCGGCAAGATCTGGTTCGACTACTCCTTGGAATTTTTCACCTAGGGTTTTTTCCCCAGTCGAAACACAAGGGTTCGTCGTTGAAGGAGGAGGCGCTCCGTTCTACATTGGAAAAATTCCATCATCTGGTTAACCCCCCCAGGTCTCTCCTGAAAGACAAGAGAACCAAGAATGGCGAGAAAATATATTGAATCATTATCGAACCGAGAACGCGGTTTCTTAGTGTCGTATTACAGCTCTGGATGAAAAAGAATTCTCGTCTGCGTCCGGATCGATTTTCCAAAGTAAACGGAAGTTCTGTTTGAAGTTCACGTATGAAAGTATATATTGATCCCACGATCGACATTTGTTTTCCTTTTAGTACGTATTCTAGTCCCGTCCCGTGATTCTTCAGAGAGGAACTCCAGTTTCGGCCTTGCGTAATTTCGGTCAAGGAAATCATTTAATGCAACACGTTTTGCAACCCATCCGACTTGAGAACGGGCTCCTGAAGAAAAGTGGATTAGCAACACCGAGATGTCGGTGGCTCGGCTTCCGACGAAACCGTATCACTTCTGTTCGCTCCATTCATGCAGACGGACTCGAAAAGCGACTTCGCATGAGGTGAAGGAGAGTTCCAAAATGATTTTAACACATTCTCGGACCACCGAGTATGCCAGACGCATCGGCCACGAGGCTCTTTTAATTCCTAACCATGAGTCGTTAGTACACGATGCTATGAAACAAAACAAAGAAGTCGATGTTTCAGTATACGAACACAAAGCTTTCGTCAATGTTAAAAAAAATACAATTTCTTCAAACTTCGCTAAGTTCTCACCAAAAGTAATAGACTTTATCAGTTTGCCATGTATTTGATTTTCGAAAAAGTTTCATTCCATAACAAATTAAAATTGGTAAACTCTAGAAGCGGCAGAGATTGGGGTGGATGGTCGTCCCTCCTTCGTGGAAACCACGGAGAAGCACCAGGCGTCTTCGCTCCCTTTTCTCCGCGTCGTCTTTTATTTCGCCCGCATCCACTGATGCACGCAACAGAGGATCGCTATACTGGGCTGGGCTTTGCCACGTCGTTTTCCCTTTTTCTTCTCCTTGCTTGTCTCTCCGTGGAGTGAGACGTACCCGACCGTGAAAGAAAGGGAGAGCTCGGTACCCCCAGTCTGGGCATTTCGGCTCGAGAAAACTGCTGCCGTGGAATTTATGCCGGCCGGGTTTTCTCTTATTACGTCTGTACGCGACGGATCGAAACCGAGGTCCTAATCTCCATTAATTCGCTAAAAATATACATATTTTGCTCCATTCGTTCGAATAAAAATAAATCCGAACGGTGCTTGAAGCAGGTCTTTTTTTTTTTTTACTTCAAGGTCTTATTTTCTTGACGATGAAAACTCGTCGAAACTGGAGGCACGTGCAATGCAGTTTGAATACAGAGACAGGAAGAAAGGGAAGTGGAGGTCAGTTTGTATGGATGCCCAGTGGACACGCATACAAACGATCGGTCTCATCGTCCTCCAACAGTCTCCTCTCCCGATGTCCAGCATGACGCAATGGAGGTAGTAGGGTCCACCCTTCCAATGCTGTCGCAATCAATCTGCTTCTCTCTCTCTCTCTCTGTCTCTCCCTCTCTGTCTCTCTGTCTCTGCATAGTCAGATGCCCAAGGTCCTGTCCTTCTGTTCGCTACCATGGCTGAGTTTTGTCTCGTCTGGAAGGACTGGTCGCAGTAAGATCCTGCATGTTGACTCGCTGAAAAGGGGAACGGGAGAGTCCCGGATACCATTTTCGACTTCGCATTTAATATGATTCTCTGCCAGCGAACCCACAGATCCGTGCGTCGCAGTCGAATCATTTTTTAAATAGAAGAAATAGCGTTTGTACCTAACGACCGAGCCCGTTCCTCGGCCCTTCGACGAGTTAAAATAAATTTTCCTGAAGGTTTCTGCTTCTGACGTTCGACTCGAAGCGTCGTAACCAAGACATCGTCGAGGTCCGTGGACGGCTCCCGCCGATCCCATTTTCATCCAGTTTCGGTGGAACTGGCTTCCTCTCGGGCCATCATCCGCGCATTCGATTGCACGAAATCGATGATGAAATGTCGTTTGAATCTCGTTGCTTAGGTAGCAAGCGCATCTCGAAACTGCCTTCATCCATGCCAAGAGTGACGCATTCCGAAACGAGATTCCATTCGAATCCGATTTGAATACCACTTTACGATCATGCAATATTTATGAAGCATCATCGAAATCGCAGTCGGTTGCCGGGTGATTTCGCTTTGGATTCCGTTTGGCTTTCCCGGAAGAGGTTGGGGGCTCGCACGAAAACATCCGCATTAAAGAAAATCAAACTTCACGAGAATCGGGTTTAAGGCGAATCGAGACGAATGCGATTCGAAGGTGAAAAAGATGCCGATAAGAATTTTTCCTCGAGGGACAGATACGATCGAGAGCAAAACTCGAGGATCTATCCGAGAG